GAAAAGCTTAGAATGGAACGCCTCATTTGGTTGGTTTTACTCACCGGATAGTACTTCTTAAGAAATTCTTGTTACAATTGAGCCCAAGAAGTAATAGAGTTGGGAGCGAGGGAGTTCAACCAATATTTTGCCCTATCCTTTAGGGAGAATGGGAAAAGATGGAGATGAAGTTCATTGTCCGGAAAACCTCTCAACTGGATGGTCGAACAGATTTCAAGGAACTCATCAAGATGCTTATATGGATCTTCATTATCAAAGCCATGAAATGATGGAAGCATTTGAATGGTACTAGACTTGATCTCATATTGAGCTGCATCGATGTTTGGCATCACTATACAAGAAGGAGAAGCATAGGTGGTAGGAATGAAATGATCTCTAAGAGTCATTGGTTCTACATTAGGAATTTCAGCCCTTTCATTCCCCGGATTTTCTACGTTATCCCCCCATTATATTGAATTCAGTTTCAAGGTCCCTTGTAAGAGTGGGTTCCCTAAGGTTCCGTCTAGGAGTTCTTTCAAGTGAATTTATATCAATAGGCGAGTCAAGTGTGGGAAGAGAGAGTGACCTACGGCCAAACATCAACAATTCACAACAACATCATCACAACAAATCTTTATCATCAACTCCACATACGATGTTCCCTTTCTCCTCAATTATCAAGACAGAAAATAAATGGCCACGACAAGGACCGATGCTTGGAATTGAAAATACACAATTGAAAAAGCCTCGACAAGGGCTTGCAATTTATCTACTTCTAAGCTTAACACATGCACGATATTCACAATTTGAAACTAGAAGTCAAGAGACTTACCTGGGGTCCTCTAGACTTCCAATTTGCTAGCTATCCCACGGCGAGCTTCGAGTCCCTAGAATCTTACAACACGAAGATGATCAAAACACACAAGGAATATTCACAAGACACAATATGCACAATTAAACTAAATTTAACCCTAGAACTTTGGTCACTAAACCGTTTGCAGTCCCTGGCAACGGTGCCAAAAATTAATCGGTTGGTCAATCATACATCAACCTTCGCAATAGCACGAATCATTGTAAAATAGGGCTATTGGTCGGGTAAGTCGAACCATTGGGACTGCGCTAGTCTAAGGCAACCTAAGTGTTTAGAGTCATTCTTAGGATGATGAAGGGGTGTTCATAGAGGTTGTGTTTGTTGTCACTTAACTACAAATTCAGAATGCATACACAATAAATTGAAGGAGATCAAAAGAGAAGATTTAGAGAAGGAAGTCTAGGGAAGTGAATCCACTCCAAACCTCTACACAAGCTAATTATATGATTGATTTGAGGAATTAATGTAGAAATGACCTTGATGAATAGCAATTCATGACTACTATATCATCTTCAAGAAATTCAATTAATTAAAATGTAAGAACAACCTATCAAAGCTCCACATGCTTAAATTACCTAAACTATGGTGCAATCCTCAACATGCTCACTAAGCTAGAGATTGTCAAACAAGTAACCAATTGATGAGAGCACATGATAACAAGTCACAAGGTTAATTCATCAAAAGAAATTCTTAAGCAATGAATTAACAAGCTACTCAAAATCATGCCATTAAAACCATTCCATAGTCTTAGCTCCATTGTCACTATGAAACTACAAGCCATACAACCATGAGATTAAATCATCTAAGACAAGAGTATTTAATGTAACATGATCTTTAGAACATTAAAACATCCATTACATTATGTAACATGCTCTAGATTATGGAACTAGTCAAATACACATTTCATTCCCCAAAATAAATCAAAAACTAGACATGCTTACAAGGAGGAGTTTCATCACCTCCCTAGATGGAGGTTTAGTTATCCATGGATACAAAAATGGAAGAGGAAGAAGAAGACTCCATCTCCATTTTCGAGCTCCTACTGTAGCACTCAAGAACCCCCTTCTCCTTGCTCTCTTCTATCTCCTCTATCTTGCTAAAGATTAAAGATAGCAAATGTGTGGCCTTTGGTAGCTTTTTATTCTCCAACACACCCTCTCTCTCTCCTCCAAGGAACACCTCCAACCACTTCATAAAGAGGGAAGATGGCATTGAGGAAACCAATGTGCAAGTGGCTGAAATTGAGCCATTTTCGAGTGCAATCTGCCTGATTTTCGAGCACTCGAAAAGTGGTCTCGAGCACTCTAAATTAGTGCAATGTGCAACATGCTCTTCTTGCTCAGCGCTGACCCACTTTGGTAAAACTGCTATAACTTTGTGTCCCGAACTCCGAATGATGATCTGTTTGAAGATTTGGAGAGCTGATTCAGTGCTTTAAAAACTTCATGTTTTGATGAAGACCCAATTCTCAAGTCTGGTTGGTCGAAAATGGGGAGAAAGGCAGTACTTCAGTGCTGCCAGGCAGTTCTGCGCACCTCTGTTACGAAGATCATAACTCTCTGCTCCGAACTCCGAATGATGAACCACTTGAAGATTTGGAAAGCTGATTCAGAGATCTAAATCTTTCATGTTATGATGGAAGTCTAGTTCTTGAGTTTGCTAGGTCGAAAATGGCGACAAAAGTCAGGATCACTGCTGCCAGAAATTCAGAAATGGCATCCTTTTTGTTCAAAATTCCACAAGGCATCATTTTTGCTTCCTTTTTGCACTTTAACCTGAAAATGCATAAAAACATGCAAATGGAATTAATCTACATAAAATAATTAATAACTGGACTTTGTTAATGTAATTTAGGACGCTTGAATATACAATATTCGGCGCTTATCAAAAACAACCATACTTTTCAAACTGTTAATATAACCCGCCCTTTGGTGACCCCGCAGCGACACGAGAGGAGGATTGGCTAGTGTCCCTGACCCTTGGTAACCCCGCGGCGTCATTATGGGGCCCAGCTAGCTCAACCACGCTAGGGCGACTCCCTAGTCCCCTCTAGGCTATATTAACCTCCGGCCCTTTGGTACTCCCGCGGCGACCGGGTTTCTCAAAAAAAAACTTTTTCAACAAAGCTTTCCCGAAAATCCCCATTCTTTCATTTTTCAAAAGTCATTTCCATACGTGCAATCCCCAATGATGAATTCATGAATGCCACATACTTTCAATGTTGTAATATAAGGGATTTCTAACATTTGTCATGCCATGACAATATCATAAAATGGGGAATTTAATACCACAATTTACCACACATGCTCACAATAATCAACTAGATATTTAGCATTATAATAAGCATGATAAATCAACCATTTATCACAATTTCCATACAATCCAACAAATACACATAAATATATGTTTCACATACACAATTAAATCATTTAAGGAGTAATCCATCTAAACTAAGCATGCTTATCACATAAGTCAACAAACACACAAATATAAAATCTTTATATGCACCATTAAATCATTTTTAAAGCAATCAACCTTAAATCAAGCATGTTTGGTCAAAATTCTAGAGGAATAACTCACTAAGGTACAAGAAAAGTGTGAATTAGACACCTTTACCTCTAATTGAGCAAAAACCCCAATTTTCTTCACAAACCCTAGAAATGGGTCCTAAGATTCGAACTCCAAGGAGTGCACTAAATCTGAAATCGCTTGTATGGATGTGTAGAACTTGACACGAGCTTCGTTTTGCCTCAAACAACACTCAATTTCGATAAGAAATGAGATCAAGATCTTGCTTCAAAGTTTTGGAAATTAAAATGGAAAGAAAAACAGAGAGAAAGAGGGGAAGAGAGAGGCGCACGTGAGAGAAGGAGAGAAATGAGACCATTTGTGGTCTCTTGGCCCTTAGTTGGTTTAATGGTAGGTTCCACCACCTTTTATTTTCTTTTTCCTTTAACTTTTTGCTTAAATTTGAGCCATTACACGACATAATACACATATTATATATACACCTATGCACATAAATACACAGACATTACAGTTTATAGCTATGGGATCGTCATGTTGGAGATGTTAACCAGAAGGAGCCCAACTTGTGTCCAAACCATGGATAATAATGGGGAAATGAAGCAGAGAAGCTTGGTCACATGGGTGAGGGAGAAGATGCATGGAGCTACGGGAAACGCATCATGGATTGAAGAAATTATAGACTGTACCATGGATGGTGAATATGACATGGATAAGAATAAGATGGAGCTTCTGGTTAGAGTGGCTCTGGAATGTGCAGATCGGGAAGACAGAGATGCAAGACCCACCATGAGCAAGGTTGTTGAGGTACTTCTGGGTCATGAAAGTGATGACTCTTAAAATTATGGATATATGGCAATTTATAATTTTGAGTATGTTTAGCGTTTTATATATTGGTTTCTAGTTTCGTATCTTGTTTTTGGTAGCTACTAATGTCTGCTATGCCTTTCGCTTCATCTTTATTTTGTGGTTAAGTGCTTGTAGATATTTACTTCTCCCTGTATTTGTTCTGCACCAAAATTTATGACCTTGCAACTCCTTGTCAAGATCTTGGTGAGTCAATAAATAAATAAATAAATAAGTCAAAATTTTGGTGGTAAAGACTAGATTTTGGTATATATAAGTCCAACATTGCATCATCCACTTTTTAAAAATGTTGAGGGTTCAAGTTTCAAGGGCGGCCATGTGTATTGTAGATGAAAATGCTCAGAGTCATGCATGCCATCTCTTCCTTCCATAATTGATTAGGTTCTTTCATAATAATGCATATATCACGGACTGCAGGTTTGAAATTTTAGATGGGTAGGTTAGCTTTAACTTGCAGATTTTGGCCTGTCTAAATTCTTGAACCAAATTTAAAACAGAAATCACCCAAAATGGGGAAAAAAATCTTTATCTAGAAAAGGCTACCGTTGAAAATTAATAATGTCTCAATTTTCAGGGTATTAAAAGGTTATGGCAATTTCGTCATATAATCGAAGAGTTGAAAGGTCATGAAATAATAGTAAAAAGCCCAAGAGGCAAATGAACAACAGGCTAACAACTGTAAGATATTTCGGTGCAGAAGAAATTCATGAAAGAAGAAAAGGTAGTCAGATAAGTTGCTCCCAAAAATAAGGTGAGATTCTGGAAACCAATATACAAACATCTTAACATACTCAGAATTATAGAATATATATAATCCAAGGACTGACTTTTAAAAGTCATCATTTTCATGGCCTAGAAGTACCTCCACTACCTTACTCATGGTGGGTCTTGCATCCTTGTCTTCCTGATCAGCACATTGCAGAGCAACTCTAACCAGAAGCTCCATCTTACCCTTGTCATATTCACCATCCATGTTACAGTCTACAATTTCTTCAATCCACGCTGCATTTTCTGTAGCTCCGTCCATCTTCTCCGTCACCCATGTGACCAATCTTCTCTGCTCCATCACCCCATTGTCATCCATTGTCTGGACACTGGTTGGGCTCCTTCCAGTTATCATTTCCAACATGACGATCCCGTAGCTGTAAACATCAACTTTGGAGGTGATGGGCAGATTAAAAACCCATTCAGGAGCCATGTAACCTCTAGTACCTCTTATCCTAGAGAAGATTGAATTATCAATGCCTCCTCTGTTCAAGAGTTTAGACAGGCCAAAATCTGAAACTTTTGGATGGTAATTAGAGTCTAATAGTATGTTCTGAGGCTTTACATCACAGTGTAAAACCCACTCCAAGCACTCTTCATGTAAATAAGCTAGACCCTTTGCAGTACCCAATGCGATTTCAAACCTCTGCTTCCAATCAAGAGTATTGGAAGTTAGATTTTCTGCTAAAGATCCATGCTCGATGTACTCATACACCAAAAGTCTGTGTTTTCCCTCCGCACAATAACCCCACGTCTCTATCAAGTTCATGTGATTAAGCCTCCCAATTGTGCTCACTTCTGCTAGAAATTCCGCTTCTCCTCGGTTAGCTTCGCTGAGACGCTTGATTGCTGCAACTCTATTGTCCGACAATGTGCCTTTATAGACAACACCACTACCTCCTCTCCCGATTTCTACACTGAAATTGCGTGACGCCTTCTTAAGCTCATCATAGGTGAATCTTTTGAATCCGGTTGCGATTTGAAGGTAACCATTCTCAGTTGCACCAGAGACTTGACGGTTTCTAAACAATACATATTGAACGAACAAGAAACCGATGATCTCAACTCCTCCACATCCACAAGCGAACCAGAGCAGGAACTTTACGGTTCCATTGTCTTGCTTCTTCTTGTAAGTTCTGTCGAGCCGTGTTGTAACTTGGCGCGAGCAATCTAATCCGAATTCTTCAGTGGGCTTATCATAGGAGGAGAGATTAGATTTGGGCAATTTTATGTATATGGAATCTCCAAATTGCATTGAGCCATACCCATTAATATTGAGTAACTTAGTCTTGGGGTAACAGAGATAGTAACCTCTTGCTTCGTCAAATTTGAATTGAAGCCCTTTGCAACTGCAATCTTGCAAACACTTCACTTTACACCACTCTAAGGTTTGATTTGGGAAGTACCCAAAATCATAGCCATAGGATGCAACATCAGCATGAGGAAGTTTGATGAAAACAGCCTCATCATTGTTGCAAGAGAAATTGAAATCTTGTTCACAGCCATAAGACCAATCTGTGTGATTCTTCATCTTATGTCTTGGTAGGCATTTGCAACTCCGACCGCTTTCAGCAGCATAAGTGCAGAGACTGTTGGGCCCACAAATGCCATGAATGGTGCATGGGTTGGACATGGCTTGCCATGAAACAACCCAAGCTCTCAACTTCTCATTTAGACTATACAATCTAAGATTGCCATCAACATCAACCGTCAATCTTCTCTTAGGCCCTGTGCCCAAATCTGTTGCTGAGAAATTCAAATGATCAGAAGAGTTGAACTGGCCAGAAGGATCGAGTATTGCAGTTCTACTGTTGTTGTAGGTGGACCTTCCAACTTCGAATTGCCATGCTCGCTGCCACGGGTCAGGCCAATAAATGCTGGAGATTTCAAGACCAACGAATAGAAGGCGGAGTATGTTGTCATCATCGAAAAAGAGCTTGTAGAAACCGGAAGAATAATTGCTTTGGCTTCTTGATGAAACAAGTATTGTGTTTCTCGTGAATAGCTGTTGAGGAAGAAGAGTATTTGTTGGTGAATCAAAGCTTTGCCAAACAATTTTACCCTCCAAAGTATGGAGAACAAGATTACCAGTGTCATAAAGTTCCAATTGCACCAAAGAAGCCGAGGTGGTTTTGGTGGTCCAAACAATGAGACGGTCGGCATCTTTTAAGACAACATTACCGGTTTTTAGCAAGGTGAGCTTTGAACTTTGTCCATTAACTGGTCGGTCTCGATTGGCCATCCAAACCACTGTATGACTCCCATCATCCAACGATTGACTGAACCATATTGCGAAGCAATAGGCATTATCGCCCACTGGATAAAACCCGGAAGAGAACACGCGGCTTGCTGAAACCAACACATCGTTTGGTTCATCCACAGAGAGAAATGAGCCTTTGCTTATCCTGAGAAGTGCTGAGGATGAAAATGGTGAAGATAAGAGCAAAGAAATGACAATGAATAAAAATGGATCACACATAATGGCTATAACTACGTAAGTGTTGAAGGTAGATTTATTTTATGCACAACAAAAAAATTCTGTGAGAGTGCAGATGTCCATATATATTAGGATGTGTGGTTGAGGAAGAAGAATTTACGAGATCTCTCCATTAATTTGAATAATGTATTCTGATTAGGTAAAAATAGTAATTGTCATCCAATATTTCAGACACGGTACATTCATATCTAATGTACCAGACATGTAATAGTGGACTCGATTGATTTCTCTTCAGGAGCATCTGATGCTAACCTACCAAATTGTGTCAAATCGCTGGATCAATTGGTCATATTTTCCTGCTCAATTGTGTCAACTCACAGGATCAATTATTATTATTATTTTATATATATATATTTTTTTCAAACTGACAAACAAACACGAACAAGATGAACATAAACAACTATTGTAGTAGACCACATACAACAGTGAGAATTAAACGTACGAATCTGTTCTTTACATTAAAAATAAATTAAAAATTAAAGAATCAAAATACTCAAAAATATTACTAAAACAATTCCAAAAGCTGATAATCCTCTTCTTCATCGCCTTACTGCTCGGCCTCTCTATGATGTTTTTCAGAAATACAATGTTAGACTCATCTTTTGAGTCTGGGTGATAAGGTCTTTGACACACCCAAGAGCAGCTGAACTGTGAAACTATTGTGATGAAAGCTGGTCAATGCAGGCTGCCCGTGTCACATTGCCTGTTCTGTACATAGGTATTTTTTTAGGCTCTTTTTGTTTCCACATAATACATTTTCTGGAAAATGTTTTCATCATTTTTTTGGTGTTTAGTTATTTTTAAAATTGGTAAAATATTTTTCAATAAAATGATTTTACCCCAAAAAGCTAAAAATGACTTACGGATATAATCGCCTTAACTCATTTTACAAACTGAACATTTAACTCTCACAATTTTTTCGAGGAGACTTTAACCTACTTAAAATAGATATGACTAGACCACGTGACTGAATGTGTTTAGGGGGTTAAATATATTTTGTAACTTGTATTTTGCAACTTATTCTGTTGCTAAATGGCATTTCTTTCTTCTGTCTAGAAGAGTCGCGAGTATCATCATGATTTGACAAAATATTGATTAGTTTTGGTCCCGACCACTCTAGATTTTATGGCAAAATTTCCCATAACTCCTTCAGTATATAAAATTTTCCTTTGAATAAACTAGAAGATATGAAAAAACATTTTTGACCAGAGCCAACAATTTTGACTAGCATAGAGATTACTGAAAACATCATTTTATTTATTTATTTGTGCATTCTACCAAAATCCATTAAAAATCTATATATATATATATATATATATATATATATATATATATATATATAATTATATGCACACACAACATAAGTATTAAATATAATGTAAAAATTTTCCTAGTACACATTTATCATTTAACAAAGAGCTGCAAGGTCATAAAATAAGAGGCAAACGAATAGGTTCACTACCATATGATATTTTGGTACAAATCCAGGGAGAAGTAAAATCTATGAGCACACATAATCACAAATTCCAGATGAAGCAAAAGGCATAACAGACTGAATACAGAGAATCAAATGGTAAATCGTTAAGCCCAAAAACATAATCCCAAAAAATAAAACTTCTTCATTTTCAAATATTAATCAATAAATTAAATTATAAATACTTCAATCCATACTACTGCTTCAAATTATAAATATCTCGATTCATAATAACAAACTTCGTAGAGAACAAGCCAAAGTCAACATTGGTTCCGTTTCTCAACTCTCTCTTCCTTGGGTCAATTGCAGTGTTGTAAGTATGCATAATTAAGAAAAATATGTACTCTCTAGCTAGAAAGACGACTAGTTTCCATTGTAACCCTAATTCAATTTTTTATTAAATAGGAGAGATGGAGACATTAGTTGAAATTTGATATTTACCAATAAATTACCTAATGGAAATGCATCACGTATCGAGATCATGTGGAACATAAAAATCTTATATAGGAGACATTAGTTGCTGTCACAAACAATAGGTTTTTAATCTGCCCATCATGTTGATGTTTATTTTATTTTTTTAGGACTCTGGAGGAATTATAATATTGCATAAATATGCCATGGGAAAAAGCTATGAGGGTGGACTTTTTTATTTTTATTTTTATTTTATATATATAATTATGGAGGTGGACATTTTTAAATATAGTTTTGTTGATGAGAGAGTAAGGGGGAATTTTTTGATGAATTTTGGAAAAATAAACAATGAAGAAAGAAAAATGATACTTACCCCAATGATATTAGTCGATTTCTTTAGCAGATTCCATGTGGCTCTTTAGAGGGCAAAAGAATTATATTTCATGTGCATTGACGTGCATTATTAAGGTCAGGCCAGGACCCGTAAAGCGGCCCAATAGTCTATAATCTTCGTTCAAAAAAAAAAAAGTCGAATGTTTCAAGTCTCCCCAAGAGAATTGTGGGACTTGAACAGACAATGTGACAAACTCGGCCTGCAGTGACGGGCTTCCATCACAATAGGATCATTCTAGTTAAGCAGTTCAGTTCTTTTTAGGTTGATCATGCATGGGTGTGTCAAATACTGTATTTCTCCAAAATAACAAAGAGAGGAAGGAAGAGGAGCAAGGTGATGAAGAAGATGATCACCCCGCTTTGTTTTTTGAGTATTTTTTGTTTTGGTTTCCTTTTTCTTCTTTCTTTCTTTATTTATATATATGTTTAGATTTTGGAGGCTAAATCACTCGAGGATTGCATCCTCGAGAAGTGGAACTAGTTCCATTTGAGCTAGAATTGGTTGTACTTGTGCTGTGAAGCCTAAGTTTTATTCTTAAAAAGTGGAACCGTTTCCACTTTTTAAGGAAGGGTCACAATGGTAATTCCAAAAAATAGAACCGGTTGTAATTGAAATAGAACCGATTCCCCTTGCTCTTCTGTGCGAAAATTAGTTTCCTTATCCGTTTTGGAATCTTCAAATGCTAAAACTTGGAGAGCAAGAGGATTGAAATAAAATTCTCCATTGTAATCCTTCATTTATTTATTATTATTATTATTATTATTATTTTATAGTGAATTGTTCGGTGCGTTCTGTGGATGTAACCCAGAATTTGAGTGAATCTCGTCGTATGTCTTATGTTGATTGTATGTGATCGTTTTATTTTATTTTATTTTATTTTTTTACTTGTGTGTTTTAGTCCTTTCCTTAGATATCGTTAGTTTAGGCCGGATTTATGCAGGAACAGTAAGTCTAGTAGGTTTAATGGTTCAATGCTTTGTATGCTTCAATAATTAATTTTTGTCATTTGCAAAATGTTGTTGTGAAAGGTGATTCTTTGACTATTATTAGGGCGGTCAGTGATGGTAGCTGGGATTGCAACATAACACATACTCCCTTTGTTTTAAAAAGATTTCGTGTTTGGCGAGAGTTATGGTTCCCCAAACGCGATATTAGTGAGTTACGATTCCTCAAACACGACATTTTTTTTGAGATGAAAATAGTACTATAGAAGATATTAAGACTTTGAGAGCTAATCTTAAAAGTACGTTGGGGTCACTGATCATATTTACCTATATGTTTAAATGATGTAGTACTATCAGATTGTAACTTTTTCTCATATTAGTATCATCTTTATTTTTGCTAGAAAATAAATAAATAAATAAATCCTGCCATTTTGAATCTTTGTTGAAGCGTGGGCTTGGGGGTTTGGGCATTGCCTTGTTTGGACTTAATGCCTTGCTTTGTACAGGCTTGTTGCCTTTACACTTTTCGGCCCATAATTTGGGCCTTTGTACAGTTTCTCATTAATATAATTACCACTTTTTTTCTTCTTCTTTTTTTCTTTTTTTTTTTTTGGTCATTTGCAAGAGTCTCATTCTGTGTCCTCTCTACGAAAAAGACGAAGTTCAATAATTGACGCAGATGACGTATTACGACAACTGATTTCTCCTTCTTCAGCTTTCAATTTTGGTCTACTGTTTTCTTCTATTATTGTTTTTGTATGAGTTTGCATCCTGATAATTATGGCACGTTTATCAACGGCATAGTGACATAGTGATATTAAATCTTTACTTTTCAAAGAAAGATCATATATTCAAGATTCAGTGAAAGCATATGACACAATTGTACGAGGTTATTAGAATTCGAGAAAAATAATAAAAATATGATAAAGTACAAAAAAAACTCACGTATAAATTTTTTTCAATAGACACTCCACTTTTTCAGAAGTGAATAGTTTAAATTTTTGTATTTTGAAATTTTGTAGTAAATTGTCCCTTGGTCAACAATTTTGACATATTTTTTTTTTAAAAATCCTAAAATACCCTTAAGGGAAAATGTTAATTTTTATTTATTTATTTATTTTGTCATTACAACAATTTAGGTATTGTAGCCTTCAAATTAGAAAATTGTCCTTATTTGCTCAATTTGAAAAATGTAAGGGATTTTTGGAATACAAGGGTGGGATATATGCACATTTTACATATAAAAAAAAAAAAAAAATGGGTTTTTGACACTTTTATCCATTAAAAAATAAGAAATGGTACATTTTACATATAAAAAAAATGGGTTTTTGACACTGTTACCCATTAAAACATAAGAAATGGTTACCAACAAAACCGTAGATAGAAATTTATGTGGTTCGATTTTTTATCTATGTTCACAAGAATAGACAGAAATTAAAATACTAATTATAAAGGCTTATACCCAAAACCCAAATGCACCCAAACTCTCATAAAATCACATTGAGAACTTGTGATAATTACTTGCTGAACCATAGAGGTTCTCTGGCGAATTTAAAGCTAACGAACCGTCAAAGTGAGACAGTGAATGTAATGACTCTGTCACATTGAGAACTTGTATTTAAGGTTTTTTTAAATGGATCTTTTGAATGGCACTTCATTTTGGGTTTTCTGAGAAATTCACTTTTTGAGTTATCTAGTGGAGGGACATTTGTGTAATTATGAAAAATTTTCAAAAAAGTTTCCCGTTTTGGGTTTAAAC